TACGTCTGATATAGCAGAATCCCTCCTGGATGTAGGTGGTTCTCCTGAGGCCGGGGAGGTTCTGAAGATGATCGTCTATCCTTTTAATGCCAAACACACACTTCCGATGTTGCAGCAAATAAAGGCTTTGCTAATATTTTCTGCATGTCTTGCTGCACACAGGAACAAACCACTAGAGGAAGATCTGAGTCCAGCTCAGATCATCTGTAGCAGTAAAGGCATGGTTCTGTTCTGGGCGCCGCTGAATCTATGGACCCAGCAGTCTGCACAGGTCATCCCAGCAAAAACGGTGACACTCATGCAGGTAGTTGTCTGCAAAAATTCAAATATGGGTATTTTTCTATTTCCCTCAGCACAGCAATAGTCTATTAAAGGCCTTTCTGTCCAACATAGAGCAGCAGCCGTCTGCAAAAACTCCTCAAAGAGGAACAATGTCCACATAGAAAACTATAAAGGTAGGAATAGTAAAGAATAACAGAATAATGTTTAAATAATTACAATACTTCACTATATATCAATATAGATTAACGGTTTTAATTCAGGCTGATTTAACACAGCATAGAGATATGAAAACAGAACCGCTATTAAACTCATTCATTTCTGATGGGAGTGACGCTCACTGAGCAAATAACACATCAGGATTAACTAAGCCTGGCTGTTAGCCTGGTTGGGCTAGTTGCATAGAATAAATCACCATGGTAACTGATGTGTTACTGCTTTGGTTAAACCAAGTTTAGGTTTATATAAACCTGGATGTTCAGGAAATCCTGGCTTAATCTCTTATCTTGGTTTGGTAAATCATCCCTCTGAATATTGCTGCCAATGCTGCTTAAAGCGGCATCTCACACATTTCTTCTCTTTTTCAGAACAGCTTTGAAGGTATTTTTGACCTGGTTTTCTACGCTGTGGAACGGCTGCTAGGTTTCAACATTTGGACAGTTAGATTTTTCTACGGATATGACAATTCTTTATTTTTACAAATTTTTGCAACGGGTTGATATTTTAAAACTGGAAATAATACCTAGGCTGCCATCCCAAATAGCAGATAAATTCAACAATGGGCAACATTATGATAGTGTGGGATAGCCATTAGTAGTTTATAAGTTTCCCTCCAACATTTCTGACCCGCCTTTTAACCATAGGAGCAAACAAATATTTAATATTTAATTATTTAAAGATGAGCAACAAAAACGGAAAGGAAAAGGGTCAAACTTTTTTGTAATAACCATGACTCTCTGGTCATGTATGAAACTTGTAGCAGTAAAGCGTATCCGTATTATTTCCCCAGAGACCCAGTGTTATTTTAGCAACTGTTTATGTTCCGTCTGCTGTTGCCAACACTGCCTGTGATGTCATCAGTTCAGGCAATGCTAAGCTATAGACAAATCATCCCAATGGATTTGTAACAATAACCGGTGATTTTAATCACACATCAGTCTGTGTAACATTTCAAGAGTTTGTCCGCTGCTCTGGGAAAAAAAAAAATATATATATATATAATGTTGGATATGTTGCAAAAGTCAGGAGTTCATATATCTTTTCTACACAACCTCCTCTTGGAAAATCAAATAATCTATGAAACATGAGTTTAGATGCAACAGGTGATAAACAAAAAGAATAAGAACTGCAAGAGGATGGTGTGAACAAACACATAAAGTTATTTGTGGATGACCTTTCCACTGGAACCATCAGATGCATTGGACCATAAGGAACTGCTGAACATGAATAAGGAGCCTTCAGGGAGGAAGACCGGGAATTATTGAGGAGTTTACGGAGCAGTCTTAAAGTCAAGATAAGAGGAAGCAATGAGGTATACAAGAGGAAGCAGGATAGAAAGCTCCATAATTACAGAGATATGTGGGCAAGTCTGTTCTGGAGTCGGATCTCTTCCCATCATCTGCTGGGTTAACGGTATTAGTAACCATTGCCTTAAAAAAGCTAACGATCCATAAAAGGAGGCCGGTTCTCTTCCTGGAACTGTTTTAAAGGAAAAGTCCGGTCAGCAAGGAATAATCAATGGATCATTATTTATACCTAAAACTAATACGTTAGCTGTGATTTAATGAATTTAGCGTTAATCAGTAAAAAAAATGAAAACAATTATTTTCTTCTGATCTCTGAGTCTGGGAGCGGCCATTTTTGCGCAAATATAGTAACCCCTCCCTCCTGCCATCTTCCAGCAGTGACGTCACGGTGCGGTAAGCCTAGCGCCATTCTCCCCGCTTTACAAGCTAAATCAATGGGAACTACTAGACACATCTGCAATCAACAACAATTATTGAAGATTTCCAGAGGACTTCACCATTGAAATTCACCAGAGCTATAGTGAAACTGACAATGCCCACGTGCATGGCAGCTGGATGCTGGAATACATCGGGTAAAAGGGAAATAAAATAAATTATTTCACCTTTCTGATTCATGATCCTCCACGGGTTGGTCGTTGGATTGCCAACTTGAAGAGGGAGGATTTGCCATCGAACTTCTGGCCAGAGAAAAAACCCGTAATATGTAGCCAACATTTGGAAGAAGAATGTTTTCAAGATGACTTGGATAATAGCGCGTTGTGACAAACAGCCGATACCGCACCGTGACGTCACTAACCAGTAGGTGGCAGTAGTGTTCTTTGACAAACATGGATGCCTCCAGTAAAGCACATTCACATGAAAATTATTCTGAATTAAAAACAGTTATCATTTATTGAACAGGATGGAATTATTTCATATTTAAAGTACTTTCAGAAGGTTGAATTCTGAATGCGACCAGACTTTTCCTTTAAAGGCTTTGGAGATGATGATGCGGAGACCAAATTTCCATATAGTGAAAAACATCACAGAAAACCCTAAGCATGTTGTTCTTCAGTAAGGGGCATCATCAGATTTGCTGTAACACTGACCTCTATAGGAGATCCAGTCACCAGCAACTACAGCAGCTCTGAAGAACTTAACGGCCTATTTGGTTTAAGAAAGTGCCCTAACACCCCCACCCCCCCAATTCAAATAAGCTGAACTATGTGAACCTTCTGTTACACACAGCTGTGCTCAGAAGGTTTATCACAGCTTTGGTATTAAACACAGTGTAATCAGTTGACATAAAGAACTCCCACATGTTTAACTGCTACATTAGTAGGGATGGTGGCTGCACTAATACAAAACAGATAAACACTGTTATTTAGTATTTTACAAAAGATATTATTAAAGAAAATAAAGCTGACTGAATCAGATCTTTTTCATGCTACAAATTAGAGCTGGTTAATAACATTAGTAATTAGACAAGAAGACATTACAAGAAGCGTCAAGCAGCCGACTGAAGCTGCATCAATGTCTATGCTACACTTCAGCGTTACTCAGTAAGTGCAAAGTATTATTTTAATCTAAATAGAAAAGCAATAACAAATATATGGAATGACAAAAATCTTAAATAGTAGCTAATTTTTAATAGAATCCAAGTAAATTAAGCAGTGATGTGTCTCGATTGTATGAAACTGATTCGTTCAACCATCTGTCCTTGGGCGTCGAGGTTGTTTCATTTCCAGGTCCCTTTTTTTTTTTATTTAAACCATTGAGAAAACAGTAAAGATGCGTAAGGACTTTAATCACCTGGAGTAAAGGAGTTTAGTCCTAATTTACACAGCATCCACTGCGGTGCAAAGCCCGAAGGAGCTCAGATTGCTCACTAAAAGCTTGTGGCAACACAAGGCAGACCACAACTCCTGCCATGGATTTCAAAACAGTTAAAGATTTTGTTACCTTTCATTTTATTGGGCAATCCAGATATTTTCAGGGGATATGGATAAATACACAGAGTGCAAAGAAACTACACTAGTTGCTTATATTTCTGCATTTAATGTTCAATCATTAGGTTTTGATCTAATTCAATTCAGTTTATTTCTATAGCGCCAATTCTCAACACATTGATTCAAATTATTTCAAAGATTTCCATCTAAGGAAAACCAGCTTATTGCATCGACTCATTGACTTGAAGGTAATCCCACACAAAAAGCATGCTTGTAGTGACAGTGGAGAGGAAAAACCCCCTTTTAACAGGAAGAAACCTCCAGCAGAATGTGGGCAGTTGATAATAAATACATCTATTCATCTATAAATAAATATGCATTTTAATGTAGTGAGGTTTTAAAGCAAATATAGGTGTCTTTAGTAACAATTTTAAAAATCCAAGACAGTGTAAATGCTCTCATTGATAAGAATTGTTGCACATTTGCTGCTCGATTCCAGCTGGGCGCAGCGAAGCGGATGCTGTGTAATTTACTTAGACGCTAAAAATTTATTGGCTACACAGAATGATCTACTCTTTATAAATGTTTAAAATAAAGAAAAACAGACAAAACAAAACAACAGGGCTGCAGAGGAAGCTGCACCTCCCCCTAGTGGACGCCAGAGTACAATGCAGATCAACGCTTCCAGCAGGGCTGTTTTTTTGGAGTAAAATATCCAGAAGATACAAGAGGAATATGCAGATGCCAGAAAATTCCCTGGGTGGGTGGGGGGTTTATGGGGTGGGGGGTTATTGAAGGGAAGCTGGGATCTTTTAGAACATCAGGATTGATGCTATCTGCTCAGAGGAGCTGCAGTCAATCAACATCAGCCTCTGAGGAAGGAAGGATAGCTAAAGAACTTTCACCTGAAGCCTGAAACTGACATAACTGAAAATACTCGGCAGTGCAGTTTTCCTGCAAAAAGTCTCCATAAGGAAGAAAGATTGGGATTTATGTTCCAAAAGCACCATCAAGTGGGAGAAATGGTCGTTTGGCATCACCGCCCTGATGTTCTGGCCGATGTGTGCAGACATGTCTGACCACAGACGGGGAACGTTGCCTCAACGCAGGGAAATAATGGAAGTGTTTCCATTTTTTTTTTAGCTGTCCTGAACATTTTAAGTAAATGTCAGCTTGTTGTCATATTGATACGTTTGCAGAACAGCAGCGGAAGTTTCAGATTTTTTCCACATTGATGTGGTGAGAAGATGGGAACCAAGATAAGATTAGGGGACAAATCAGTGGTTTCATGGCACTCAAACCCAAACACCATCTGAACTGAGCTTTAGATGATGAAATACCAGGTGTCCGAGTGCAAGTATAGAATGATCTAGAAGTTTTACAGTATTCTCACCCCCTCCTTTGGTGTTTGACCAGAGGTGCTTAAAAGTTCCCACATACCTGTGTTGGGATGAAACATCCCAAAAGGATTAGGAGAAATACCAGAAATGGGATCAACTCTGTCAGGGTTGCCATGACAGCGTTTTTTTTTTTTACTACAGAACGTGTCTTTTTGTTGTTTCTTTGTTTATTTTCTATTTGTTTTTATGTAAAGAAAGTTAACATTTCTGTAAAGATCTGGTGGCCGAACCGACGGCAGATAAATGGCTTTTAGAAAAAAGCTCGAAGTAACAAAATGTTCTTTTTCCAACATGAATTTGGAGCAGCTGCTGGTTAACTTGCACTGAGATTATTTGAGTGGGTCTGTGTGTTTGGAAGGTCGACAGCATGAAACCTTAACATCTCTAGCTTTCATTTAGTTAAGGTAGAAAATGCACACAAAAAATATCTAGTCAGTAAATCTATTTGATAATAACTGTTTATTGTGATAAATATCATTGGATTTAAGTGTGAATAATTTTGAATGGCCTTTAGTTCTTGATTATTTCTTTGACTGCATCCCAAAAACTCCTTAAGTTTCCATGAAATCTACCTCAATCCTTCAGTTCCCATCTGAAAAGTTCCCATCACAGCAAACCGTGACCACTGTGCGTCCTGTGTCAGGGTTATAAACAGAACTATTACGTAGTCTTCCATTAGTTATCTACTGTGCAGACATTTTTATATCTAAGGGAAATATATTCAAGGACATTACAACTTTCTTTTCTTTTTTCTTTTTTTCACGCTTGTTTTGGTAATATATACACTCTTTTAATATTGTCTGTGGTATTTATATCTTTGATGGCATTTTGCTTTAACTCTTTTTACTCTATATAAGCTATTGGAATCAGAATTTCCCTGAAGGAGTGATCCCAAGGGATGAATAAAGTTGAGTCTAACTCCAAGAAAAATCCTGTTTTAGAAAACTCCTTGATGGATGCAACAAAGAAGAAACTTTTGGTACAACTAAAGTGGATTGTTCTGCATGTTTTTGGTCTCAAACTCCATCGAAACTTGAAAGAATTTGGTCCAGTTTTGGTTTTGAAACAAGAACAGATTTGATAATGATGGTGGTGGTTTTGAAAAGCCCGGAGCTGTGAGACCTGCTGCTGAGCGCTGACCCACATGTACCATGAACAGTTTTCTAAACATCGCTCTGCGCCTCCCTCTAGAACTCACTGACGCCGGTAAGGTTCGGTCAAAATGTTGCGGCGTTGCATCATGCAGACATCAGGACGGCGACATGGATGAGGGCGCAGGATGGATGACAGCAATCCGATAGGTCGACACAGCTCGCTGTGAGGCCACTTCCTGTTTAGCCTCAGGCCCTGGTGAAGCTAGGAACCACTAGAACCAAAATAGCCGCCACTGCGATCGCTGCCACCGCCAGGTTCCATCCTTCTGAGTCGTTCTTCTGAAAACAGGCCAGAAGACATATTAGAACATTGGCAGGGAATAAAGCAGGCTGTTATCCGAACATCTGAGGAAGAATCAAAGACATTTCAAACATCAGAACAGCAACTAACAGACAGCTAAACAACAAACACTGTTGAATCCCTTCAAGTTCTTCCAGAAAACTGAATATGCTAATGAATGCTTGGGTTTTTCTGTCTTCTTCTGCATGTAGATATCAGAGTTTAGCTTTTTTACATGTAACATTCAGGCTCTGAGCCCGTATTTTATCTGCATAACTTGAAGTTTCCTTTTTGCTGCTATAAAATGCAGCAGTTGGGAGAAAGTCCTTGGAGATGGTGAAGCACAGCAGAGATGTAAACAAATATCATAATCATTCAAACTATCCGTACTAATCCCTGATGTTTGCACGGCTGATCTAAACATGAACCACCATTTTTCCCCCACCTATTTAAACTGTTTCTGGCAATGCAAAGACTCCAACAAACTTGTGGTTAATAATCCAAGGAACTGTCTTCCTTTTTCATATCTCCTGAAAATATCTTTGGATGCAAACAAAAAACAGATTTAACTTCAGCTTATGTCCCTTTTCCAACTGTTTTGGCCTGAATTCCACATTGATTACTGACTTTCGTTGAGAGGTCGGTGTATGCCTCTTCAACTACCTCTGGGAAGCACTGCGGATCAAAACATCTGCATTAATAATTAGAGCTGAAACGAATAATATTAAAGTGTTGATTGGAGTTGACTGGAGAGGAGACACAAGCAGAGCAAGTCCAGGATGAAGAAACCAAAGAAGGCTTTAGAACTGTGTGGGAAGAGCTCTGCTATGGTGGACTACATCCACCTCTGTGTGGACAACATTGTTCCCCTCAGGAAAATACTATAACAGAGAGCCATGAGGCTCTGTTTAGCCAGACAATATATGGCTAAATGTGTTCAGAGAGTGACTGGAAGCCCCCAGCAGGATCAGGAAGCTTTAAATGGGGGAGACGGGTTGGTGGTTGGGCAGGAATTCTTTACAGCAATCGGCGATCAGGGCAATGAAACTCGACCAAAGCAATGGGAGCAGAAACAGGCAACAGCATCCGAGAGTCAGGCTTGAATCAGTTGTCGGGGCAAAGAAATGAAGGTTGAACACTAGGAGGCGGATTAACTATGACAGATCAATGGGGTCAGAGGGCCAAGTAACAAAGTACAAATACTTCGTTACTGTACTTAAGTACACTTTTTAGGTATCTATACTTAACTCCATTACTTATTTTTCTTCCTATGTCTGACTTCTACTCTACTTTCAATCAAGTATCTGTACTTTCTATTCCTTACATTTTTAAAACAAACGTTACTAGTTACTTTTGGCTTCGGTTTAATGTTTGTAAATATTAATTTCACGTCATGTGCCCCATCCAATGCAGATCGTTGGCTCCATCCACATCTAGGATGAGTCATATAACGCAAACGCTCATTGGTTAGCTAAAGAAAATCATCAGAAGCAAGCAGGTGTTCTTCAAACTGCAAACGTGAATTATCTATGCCATAATTTTGACACCACTGAATGGGCTTGGCGGGAGGCAGAAAACGCGGTCGATGTCCAGAGATCAGAGGCCAGGAGAATATCAAACATGGGCAAGACACAACAGGGAGCAATAGCAGGCAGACGTGGTAAAGATCTGACAGACAAGGAAGGAAAGAATGCTGGACATTTACTGACATGATACATTTCAATAATCTGGCACTGTTTGTCAGTCAGAAAGCAGTACGTAAAGCCAGGACAACAGTGAAAAAGAAGTGAGATTAGGGTGCAGACAGGGGAGAATCAGGTGGAAATTATTAAAACTGCTGCAGCACAGAGAAGATTGGGGGCAGACAAGGGTGGTGCTGACAAATAGGCCAGAATCAGGATGATTACAGCATTTCCCCAACAACAAGCCCCACATCAGGGGTGGGCAATTCCAGTTTCTGGGGGCCGGTATCCTGCAACTTTTGGATCCAACTTTGGTCCAACACACCTGAATCAAATGGCTGAGTTACCTCCTCAGTATGCAGTCAGTTCACCCAGTCATCTCAATCATCTTATTACTTGATTCAGGTGTGTTTAACCACATCTAAAAGTTGCAGGATACTGGCCCTCAGGAGCTGGAATCGCCCATCTAAACCAACTAGATCCACGCCTAAATATAAGCTCAACTGAAGGAGAAGAGGGGAGCTTTGGATAAAGAAGCAAGGTGAAGCTCAGCACTGCAAAAGGAGAGTGAAAAGAAAATGTTTAAAATAATCAGAGATGAGACGAGTAACGTTCCTGGAAGACCAGCTGCAACAGGACAGGAAAAATCTGAAAAGCACGTCAAGGTAAATAATCCGAGCTTCCTCAGGTTTAACCTGCCAATCAACCCGCCACACCCCATCTTTTTCAACACTCTAGGTGATTAAACCAAGAAAGGCTGTAGGTCCAGTTAGCATCAACAATCCAATTCATCAAAGACCACCAGACAAACAGACCACAGTTTGATAGACTGAAGGGTCAGTTGTCTAACAGGGAACTTTTCAGCACAGAAGCACCACAGGGGACGGTACTCTCACCACTACTTTTTACCCTGCTAACCTCCGACTTCCAATTAAAGACAGAGTCCTGTCATTGGCCAAAATACTGGGAGGACTCTGCAATCATTGGGCGGAGCAGAGATGGATAAGAAGCTGAGTATAGGGTGCTGGTGAACCACTTTGTGGCATGGTGTGGAAACAATCATCTGATCCTGAATTTGAACAGAACAAGAGATGATTTTAGATCTGAGAAGGACATGGAACAAGTGTAATGCTATTAACATCATTGGAAAAGAAGAGGAGGCGGACACTAGGCTGGACTGAAGATACAACTATTAAGCCATCTACACGAAGGGACAGTGCAGACTCAACCTTAACAGAAAGCTTAGCTCCGTCAGTGTTTGCAGAGAGAAGATGTTACAAATAAGACTTCTTCATAAAATGAAGAACATTCTGGACAACAGTGAAAATCCTCTTCAGATACCCCCAGTAAGACAAGCTCCTGCAGGAGATCCTTCCTGTCTAAAGCTTTTAAAGGAAAAGTCTGGTCAGCAAGGAATAATCAGTGGATCATTATCTTTCCCTAAAACTAATATGTTCGCGGTGATTTAATGAATTTAGCCTGACATCTTCCAGCAGTGATGTCACGGTGCGGTAAGCCTAGCGCCATTCTCCCCGCTTTACAAGCAAAATCAATGGGAACTACTAGACACATCTACAATCAACAACAATTATTGAAGATTTCCAGAGGACTTCACCATTGAAATTCACCAGAGCTATAGTTAAAGTGACAATGCCCACGTGCATGGCAGCTGAATGTTGGAAT